GGGGTGGGGAGGGGGAATCAAATTCTTTGTTACTACCAAAAGGTAAAAAACGACTCTGTGGAAGCATTTCTTTGATCTTCTTCCTCTTTCAGAAAGCTGCATCTCCTGAAAGACCCATAGTAAATACCCCATTTGCAGCAAGACTGGGCTTTGAAATTTGATGACATCATTCCCAAGGCAATGATACCACTGTTGTCACTGGGATGGACCCTGGGCTCAATCCAAGCCAACCAAATAAGCATGAACCAGAATACTTGAAAGAAGGTATCTGTTGCATTGTCTGAGAAAAATCTTGCATTTTCCTCCTGTTCTCAAGGACTGTGTGATACTGAGACACTCCAACCCCAGCTGGATTCCTTTCAAATGCAGGATTTAAAAATGTCCCATTTGCACATGGCTGATGTCACCCAAACTGTTAAAAGAATGCTGAGATATGAAACTGTCTCTTATTCAAGCAGAAAATCTGCAGTGACTAGATGCTTTCTAAAAGATATGGTTTTGTAAATCCTAACTATTGTCCATCTTGTGAGTTAGTGAATGACCGAATTCTTCTTGAAACAGGCAATAACCTAGCTAAGAAACATACCTGATTTGCAGGGTTCAGTGGCAGCTGTGGCCTCACAGTATAGGAACTTACAGAAAAGCAAGCAACTCCCTACTTCAACTGAGAAGAGGGAAAGATCACTCAAGAACCCTGGACCCGCTACTGTTCTCTAGTCTGTTCCTAACAAAAGGGGCTTTAAACAACATACTTAACAGAGCCATCCCAGCTCCCCAGCCACAAAACATACTTGTTCCCCTGTACTGGTTTTGGGAATCTAGTTAAACTAAGCTCTACATAACAGTGTGCAAGAAAAATGGAAGTAATGTTTATGTTTGAACACCTTTCTTGGGCCAGCTGTTGAGGAGAAATCACAAATATTGATTAAAAAAAGATAACGTATGATTAACTTTATTTTTAAATACAAAAAATAAGTTTAATCTGAAACGTGGAAAGAAAGTGATGGGCAATAATGTAAGTAAGCAAACAACTACTCGTCCTGCAAAGTGATTGTTGTCCCTTTACCTTGATAGCAGTCATGCACTTGGCTTCAACTGGGAAAAATGGCAGCTCTTCACTCTTCTCCAATGTTTTATAAATTTTCCTAAAATTGATCAAGTCATCTGGGCCAACCAGTAATAGGCTGAGGCCTTCGTTGGCAGCTCGCGCTGTTCTGCCGCTTCTGTGTACGTACAGCTCAGAAGTACGAGGGACCTGCAAATATTCACAAAACCCATGAAGCTGGCCATGGAAAACTAGCAGTGGCCTCTCATGGTATGGCCAAGAGGCTGCTAGAGAATACTGGATTTTATATGCATGTGGTACATTGCATGCAACACAGCTGAAGGTAAAGTAAAAGATGATGTCTTGCTCTCTTCGTTGCATAACCTTTTGTGAGGCTCTCCTAACTTCTGACCCTCTGCCATTTCATTTGCAAGGCAAGAAAAAATTGTACGTGTTCATACACTCAGAAGAGTTAAGGCTGAGTAACGTGACAATCTGAATATCAAAGTTAACCAAAAAGCAAGGAGTATCATATCTGTCATGTCATTTCTCATATATAATCACACATCCATGAAGTGCTACCTACCACGGTCAGTCGCTGCAGCAATGAGGGCCTTGAGTACAGGAGAGTTCAATTGATGACGACTGCATCTCTGTACTTGGGGCTACACTATACACAGGACCGTGAATCACAGCTTTACAGCGTTCAGGGTTTGGATCAGCACAAGCTTATTTCAAAACCAAAACAGTAAAAGCAAAACCATTAAAAATATTTTACCTGGTAGTGGATGACATGCTGCACGTTGGGAATATCAAGACCACGAGCTGCAACATCTGTTGTCAGGAGGACACAGCTGAGAAAGTGATTAACATTTAACGAACATAAAATTGAAGAGTAAACCATCTGCCAAGGAACATAAAATACAGTGGCCTAGAATTCTACCACAGCAATTTAAGGAACAGATTTGTACTGTATCATCTACTGGAAATACGCTATTTGTTTGCCCTTACAGAAAATGATACCAGTATTACATCAGAGGCAGTCTTGAAACAGCAATTATTAAAGAAAAAAAAAAATCCAAAAGCTACCTTCAGCAGGTCTATTCTGTTTCCAATTAAGAAATTCACTATTGTGCTGGATCCTGTTTTCCTATGCTTTTATCCTCTCCCAGTTCACAGGAATGCTAGTGCCAATCACTATTCAATGACCTAATCCAACCACCTGCAGGGGGATATGCTCCCCTTCCTTACATATCTCGGTGCCCTGCCCCAGCTGGACTTAAAAATATCTTTAGCTTGATATGACCATACCATTAATGACACAGTTTATCTTGAGGCAGATTAGAAAGGTTATTATTAAAAAGCTAGATATATAAAGGCAAGAGATTCTGTTCTGACAATCAGTATTTCTTCTTACCCATAGAAATTAAGAACTACTCAAAAAAGTCCCTCTTTTATATAAAGTCTACTACAGACACAAAGTCTGCCTCAGGTATGGAAAGGTTTGTTCAAAAAAAAATCTCCCAGCAACTGAAATGAATTACTTGTAGGTAACGGGAATTTGTTGAGATTTTATGGCATCTGACTGCATACTATATTGCTACAAGGTTCAAAGCAGAAATAAACAGAAAATTCTACTGTCTGCAACCTGCAGGAGGCTGTGATAGATGGTCTCATAGATATCTTCTTGCCTTGAAATTCTGCAGTCTCTGAAAACGCCCTGTCTGGCCCAGGCCAATGCTACTATATTTTGCCAAGGGAGACTGCAGATCCATCGCGGCAATTCAACCTCTGCTCTCCCTGTCCGATTCTATTAACGAGACACAAATTCCCGCACAGTCAGATAGCACGCAGCACTTCACAGCAGGACTAAACTGTGAGGCTTCTGGATTACGGAAGTACTGAGACCACCAACCTCCTCCCAAAACCAGCAGGAAACAATAATTCTTAAAATGGCAGGACAAGCCTGCTTGGGTAAACCCAGTGCGTCTGAAAGGCACAACTGCCCCTTCTCTTGCACTGCTCTAGGATACCTTGACCCTGAGGAATATAATTCATCTAACTAAACCTGCAAAACCCCAACCCAGCAAAAAGTGGTTAGTTTTCTGATGGCTTAATGAGATGAACCAACTCACAGAAGGATCAAATGAGCTGCAGAGCCAGGGCACGGGGCAGAGAGGTGTGCAGGATGTTTATAAAAGCGTAGGGCTGCAACCAGGGCAAGTGACAGCTCCTTCAGCAGTGATGAGCTGCCCCATCAAAGAATAATTCAGGCTCCAAGGGACCTCAGGAGGCCTCTAGTCCACCCTCCTCCTCAAAGCGGGATGAGCTATAAGGGTGGACCAGGTTGCTCAGGGCTTTATTCAGTAGAGCCTCAAAAACCTCCACAAATGAGCATCCTGTTCCAATGCCTGACTGTCCTCACAGAGAAAGAGCTTTCTTACATCCAGCCTGAATTTCTCAACTTGCACCTGTTGTCCCTCATCCACCTACCGCACAGCACAGTGAAGAGCCTGGCTCCAACTTTTTGATAACTTCTTAAGATATTGGAGAGCTGTCATTAGGTCCCCACAAAGTCTTTTTCCCAGGTGATATAAACCCAGCGCACTCAGCCTCTCCCCTTGCAGAACCAGTGCTTCTTGACCATTTGGTGGCCTTCCACTGAACTCACTTCAGGCCATCACCTCAACCATCCTGTGAAACCCCATCTTTAATAACCTGGGCTCATGAGTGGGGGACTCGTGTGCCCAGCTATCTCCACCAACCTGCTCCTACTCTAACAGTGCAGATTCCTCTCCCCACTGCACAATTTCTTTTCCTCTCTACTAGGAAGCAGAAAATCAACTCACCTCTCTCGCTCAGCAAACCTTTCCAGGTTTTTCAGTCTTTGCTTTTGGTGCATGTTGGCATGCAAAGGAAGAGGATCACAATTTAAGATTGTGAGGAGAGAACTGAGGCGTTTTACACAGTCTATGCTATTTGCAAAGACCATTGTTCTTCCTGGATACTGGAGAAGAAAGTAATAGAGATAATAGTCCTTCTCGTCTGTGTTACAGTGGATTCTGGTTTCTGTCAGAGTCTCCACAGTAGCCTCTTTCCTTGTTAAGTCTATCACTTTGGGTTTGCCCTTTATTCCTATTTTTTCCATTAACAATTCTAGTTTGGTCTTCTTGTCCATCTTCTTAGCATTCTTTTTCTGTAAAACTCTTGTGGGAGTCTGATGGACTAAAGTCAAAGTGGCAGAAAAAACAAAAGTCTGTCGTTGAGGGTTATACTGTGAATCATTTAAGATTTCCAGCAACTGAGACAGCTCTAAGAAGTGACCTTTCTCAACCATTCGGTCTGCTTCATCAATCACAAGGCACCTGTCAAATAGAAAACACACAGTACACACTTGTGCAGATAAATTCAAATCTGAGAGACTTCAATTGCTGAACACATAAGGGAAGTTCTCCATGTAAAACCCAAAGGAACACCAGGTTGGCTGAAAAGACAGGTTTCTAAAGGAAAAATCAGGTGTTTGCTACTGGCTTTACTTGACATTTCCTTCAATCAATACACCCACTGTGCATTTCAATATAACACTCTGGCAAAGAAATTAGTGATCTTACATAGTCTTAAATGATTTAATCAGTTAGTAAACATAACGAGTATGCAGTGACCCCCAGTTCAGTACCCAGCAGTTAGCCTAAAAGACACCTTTACCTGAGCTGCCGAAGATTTGAAAGATGTGGGTGTCTCTCTTTAACTAACTCCCACAGACGGCCTGGGGTTGCAATTACGATTTCTGGCTTTCGGTTCAGTACACGTTCTTGCTTCTGTGCAGCCATGCCTCCAACCAGAATTGCAGTCCTAATGCCTAGAACATATAAATAACAGTTTTTTATCTCACTAATTTATCAGTGGATGCCTTTACATACATCCACTCATAGAAGTACTTAAAAAAGTCTGTACCGCAACTTCCAGCAAGCTTTTTGGCCAGGAGACCAGAGGTTTTATATAACACTGTACACACAGCAATGCCCTCAATTTTACATAAAAATCCTCATTACAGTTAGATGCCAAAAATAAAGCAGTCTTTCTTTTAGTGCACCCGTCTTCCAATACAGGAAGAATCACATATGTCCTCCACAGCTGTTAGCGTTGGCTACCTGTACTTCAGAATCTCATGTTTTGTCAATCATATCTGCACGAATGAGCATGTCCCCGTTATGAATAACTAGCAGGCCCCTCCAAGAAACACACTGAGAAAGGCCTGTCTTGCTAATAACTGCTCATTTGCTATGGAATAATCCTAACAAGAATGCTCCCGCCCTGTTAATGATTCTCTGGACTGCACAGTAGCGCAGAGACCCCAAGTTAGCTTTAAGCAATTTGTTCAGGTACTAAAAGGAGTTTAGCTTTGGAAGCACAGACTCCATACATGGCTTATTTCACCCTCCTTCTTCAAAGAACGCGCGGGACCATGACAAACTCAATGCTACTGTGCAAGCTTCCTCCAGTACCCAAGCTACCACGGGTCTCTCTTCCCTACCACTTGTGGAACCCCATGCTTCCAGGTGGGGATTTTTTTCAGAGTGAGTTTGAGACAATAAAGCAAGCCTACATCAAAACACATTTTCTCTCCTGCTGCAGTAACTGTGCATCACTTGGGCAGCAGATTTTTTACACACAAATAGCACTGCTCTTATCAGAACTGTACTGACATAAATTATTTCAGGCTAGGAGTTAAAATTAGCCCTGTAATCAGCTGTAGACTGATGAGTACAGCAGGACGCATAGATACCAAAGGAAGATGTGCTTAGAAGCAGTTCACTGTACTACATATTCTCTTCAATAAATAAATGATTACTGCTATTGGAGAAGTGAGTTGTTGTTTCCCAGTTCTCCCCATCTTGAACAGTTTCACATCGTCACCCATTCACTTAACTAATGTGCTGAGCTCTGGTCTGGAAGAGAAAGGAACAGGACGGAATTGCTTTCATCAGGCATGTTACCAGCAATATGCTGTGGCCTGAATGCTATGGGAGGTAAGTCAAACAATCCAGCAATGCCTTCTACCCTTAAAATTTACGGCCTTAACTTCTGGTTTTGATAGATCAAAATTATATAAATACATGTATCTATATCTATTATATATAGATTGATATATCTGTCAAAAAAGGAAATTCTGAAATGTATCTGTATCAAAAAATTATGTAAAAAGAAATTATTTTTAATATATAATCTACATTATTTAAAACCAGGGCAAAGTTAGCTGTACTGATTCCGTACTGCTAAAGCAGGAGTCAATAGCTATTTGAAGGAAGAAACATTTTAAAACAAAACATACCACATTAACCATTTACTTTTACATGCTTTCTGAAGAACATTAATGCATTTCTCAAATATCAGTGACTGCGAACCCTAATCCTTCAATAGCCATCCCATTTTTATGATGCAAAAGAAACTGTGGCACACATTCTGGCTCCACACCAATGAAAGATCCAAACCCAGTGTGATCTGGGACACGGCCCGTGGGGTCTACGTACCTGTAAACTTTGCAACTGCATCAATGTGGTGTTTTACTTGTACAGCTAATTCTCTTGTGGGAGTGAGGACCAGTCCTAAAAGAAGTCTCTTCTTATGGGAGGCAACAGTATGTGCTTCGTTGCCGGAATCAAATTCAAAATTTTCCAGCACCTTCACACAGCCTGTTGTGAGAGATGCATCATCTTCATCTCCCCCGTCTTCATACTCCTGATGGGTTCGTTTTTCTGCTTCATCCTCATTTTCCCATCTTGTTTCATCCTGATGCTGATGGGACTCTTTAGAAACACTGTCATTTCTGGTTGTTGAGCTATTTGATTTTTGCCACTGCAGCACAGAGTGAATCATTGGAATTGCAAATGCAAGCGTTTTGCCGCTTCCTAAAAAACAAACAAGGGGAATAATACAGACCGACAAGTCATTTATTTGAAAAGATGAGAAAAGCAACAGCTAATCACACACTGTTCTTAAGACATACAGTTGTAACAGACACAAACTCCTGATCTTTAGAAGACCAGAAACTTGCAGCAATAGCATCTTTTCTCCTGTTCCCTTTATACCTCTCCCTGAGGCCACCAATAGCATATTTCCTGGGGAACAGGTATTTTTCCAATCTCTAGCAGGTCAGGCAGATTCATTTGTTCTGAAAGTAGTTTTTAAAAGCTGCAGTTGCAGCCAAGATATTTTTAAAGAACTGTATGCCCGTAAGGAGAATACCATGGCCTAATTGACAGTTCTGATCAATGTTCTCCACATAGAGGAATAGCAAACGAGGCCAAGGACAAACTGCAATGTACTTGAAGGATTTGCTTCCATCTTCAATTTACAGTATTGTGTTTATGACTTTCTAAGAAAATGTACTTGAAATACTCCACCATCTATCACCAGCTTGCATTTTTATAATCAAAACACATAAACCTGATTTAAAACACATAATCCGTTTTGGAGAGAAGAGGGTTATCAAATACAAAATGCTCCCCTCCTTAATTTCAGAGGTTCACTGTATCCAAGCACAAGTAACATCCTTGCCACATATTCTTTTCTCAACTATCTGTCACTAATAAAGATGCTAGGAGAAGCCTGCTAGCACGTCCACACCAGTTAAGGTTCTCATAAACACCAGTTCATTGATCACAAAGCAGCACCCAGCGCACAAGATGGTATTACACCTTTCCTGTAATAGGCCACTGCTGGAAAGCAGTTCTCTGGAAATCTTATCTCAATTCCTGGAGCACTATTTGCCATACCACAAACCCATAATGGTTTGCCAAATTCAGCATCACAGATTTTTGCCTGTTTAGGGGAGAACTTCAGTATTCGTCAATAAACAGCTAAGCCCAGTATCATTATCCTGACCAATACTGCTGCAATACTCTCCCACCTCTCTGCGTGTCTGGGAGATCTCAGAATTCTGACTTCTGCACTTGAAGCAGAAAATTATCATCAGCATTTTCAGACCACTTATACACTGAGATCATGTATTACCAGAACACCTGTTTTTAAGAGGAAGAACACTGCTCATCTTGAATTAAATGTAATGCAGTTTGACTGGTACAAATGTCAGTACTGCACCTAGCCAGATTATGGCTGTGATAATCAGGACTATTCTGCAGGCACTAGATTCACCCACAAATTAAACAAATGATCACCTCACAGGACACATTATCTTCACAACACACTGGTCACATACCATAGCCAGGCCTGCAAAACCAGGAGAAAAGTGTATCCCAGATACTACAGCTCCAGCTAATCATGTTCTTCTAAATGGGTCTAGATTGTAAGATTTTACAGAGATAAAATCTTGTTCCTTAATCAAAACTTCCTAAGTTCTACACAGCAGTGAACGGAACTGCTTAGACAAACTGCAAAAACAAGCAGCCTTGACATTCCCTGCATCTGATCTCCACAGGGATCTACTGCTGTATCAAAATCTTGCCATTCTCCCGTGTTTCTACCAAAAAGGGAAAATTAATAGTTCTTCCATCTCTCACCTTCCTCCCTCAGACCCAATGCTAAAGGAAGCTGTAGAAAAAGGAACCGGAGAATTTCAGCCTCTCCCAGCTGCAGCACTTCCTAACAGACAACTGTCCACATCTCTCAAGCTCCTACAGAATTCCATAGACCCACTGGGCTCTTTGGAGAGAAGCTGGCTTTCTCTCATGGAAATGGAAAGTAAGTGAGGAAAACACATCATACTACCTCAGGGTTACACAAAATTAGACAGCAACAACACCACCTGTCACCAACTGTGCTTTCCATTCTGAAGCTAGAGAGGGATTTGCTTTCCAGCACTGCCAAAATGGCACTTTTTTGCAGCACAAAACCATCATTTACATTCAGTTCCATTTTCAGAAACACGCCCTGCAGGGCTTTCTAATCTTATTAAAGCTAATAGCACCAGGCTAGCTTCTAATTAAAATAAAAATGCAAATGACTTCGTATCTTATTAGTTACTATACCTTCATGCTCCGGAGCAGTAAATGGCTTTACAAGACTAGCAGTGAGATAAGGCAACTGGAAGAGATGAAAAGAATGCCTTTAAACCAACTTCCAATTGTGCCTCCAATTTTTAATCTTTTATAAGGAAAAAATGTTGCACTACTAAGGATGACAAAACTCCAAAGGTATGAGTAGCAAAAAAAGTTAGAGAGAATGACTGAGAGAGTTGGGCTTGTTCAGCCTGAAGAGAAGGCTTCCGGGAGACCTTATTGCAGCCTTCCAGTACCTGAAGGGGCTACAAGGAAGCTGGGGGGGACTTTTTACAAGGGCCTGTAGTGACAGGACAAGGGGTAACGGGTTTAAATTGAAAGTGGGGAGGTTTAGATTAGGTATCAGGAGGAAGTTCTTCCCGGAGAGGGTGGTGAGGGACTGGAACAGGTTGCCCAGAGAAGCTGTGGATGCCCCATCCCTGGAAGTGTTCAAGCCAGGCTGGATGAGGCTTTGAGCAACCTGGTCTAGTGGAAGGTGTCCCTGCCCATGGCAGGGGGATTGGAACTAGATGGTCTTTAAGGTCCCTTCCAACCCATTCTGTGATTCTATGATTTTACGAATGGAGTGCTCTGAGACTTCACAGCATTGTTTATGTAAAAAAGAAGCTGTTACAAATTTTACAAAGGCTAGCAATGCTCAAGACAAAGGCATGAGCTGATCACAAGTCGGACAACATTCAGTACCTCTCCAATTAATGGATCAATGTGATAATTCAAGCACAAGCAGTGAGAAAGAAGGGCTGATGACAATGTACAGGCAAAGCCCAGAGACAGGGCACAGGGTGAGACCGTTTTGCTACAATAAAGGCAAAGGCCATGTTCACAACGCTGTACACTGTGCCTAGTATTTATTTACCACTCCAAGCTAGTAGAACCATAGAATGGTTTGGGTTGGAAGGGACCTTAAAGATCATTTAGTTCCAACCCCCCTGCCATGGGCAGGGACTCCTTCCACTAGACCAGGTTGCTCAAAGCCTCATCCAGCCTGGCCTTGAACACTTCCAGGGATGGGGCATCCACAGCTTCTCTGGGCAACCTGTGCCAGTGCCTCACCACCCTCTCCATGAAGAACTTCTTCCTGATATCCAATCTAAACCTCCCCACTTTCAATTTAAACCCATTACTCCTTGTCCTGTCACTACAGGGCATTGTAAGAAGCCCCCCGAAAGCTTCCTTGTAGGCCCCCTTCAGGTACTGGAAGGCTGCAATTAGGTCTCCCCGGAGCCTTCTCTTCTCCAGGCTGAGCAAGGCCAACTGTCTCAGCCTTTCATCACAGCAGAGGTGCTCCAGCCCTCTGAGCATCTTCGTGGCCTCCCCTGGACTCGCTCCAACCGGTCTATATCCTTCTGATGTTGAGGGCTCCACAGCTGGACACAGCACTCCAGGTGGGGTCTCACCAGAGCAGAGTACAGGGGCAGAATCGCCTCCCTCAACCTGCTGGCCACAATTCTCCTGATACAGCCCAGGATACTATTGGCTTTCTGAAGCCAATATAAATACATATATAAAGCCAATATAAATATATATAAAGCCTCGTAGCAATAAGCTGCATTCAAAGAGAGGAGATGGGATGCTCCCAGCATACACAGCCACCTTAAGAGATTTGTACCTGTTTCTGCAGCACCAAGAACATCCATATTATCCCGGATGGCAGAAGGCAAGGCTAAGGCTTGAATAGGAGTTGGAGCACTAAACCCCAGGTAGCTCAAGGCCTGCAACACTGGTTCAGGTACAAACAGGTCTTTCCATGCAGACACATCAGCTTTGTGATCAGCTGAGGCAGATAAAGCTTCTGTTGTCCAGTTTTTAACTTTCTTAGAAGTAGTTACTGATGGAAGAGCTTCTTGAGCTTGACAAACCTTATTTTCAGCTACCTTCTTTTTCTTTTTCTTTGGAGCATCTTTTGTGTTTGAAGTGCTCTCAGCCAAATGTCCATGCTCCTCACACTCTGACTCTTTATCAATCAGCACATCAATTTCTGTTGCATTAGGATCACCGCTTTTATCAGATTTGCTTCTCAAATCTTTCTTTTTCTTTTTCTTTTTGGGAGGGACGATGGGTTCTTCCTCCTCCTCACTGCCACCTTCTGAAACACTCTCAGCCTTTCTCTTTTTCTCTTTTACTTTCCCCACTTTAGAAGAACTTACTAGTTTATATTCTGTAAGTTCTTCCAAGCATACTATATCTCTAAACTCCTCATCAGCAAAGAGATTGGGGTCGATTGGCACAGTTTTCCATTCTCCTGTTACTTGAATGCCTTTTTGTTTCAGTTTAAAGGAGGAATGAAATCTTCCTCCTTTTCTGGTCTTCATTTTTACCTAAAAAGAACCTAGGAGGTAAAAAAGAAAAACATCAGATCAAAAGAAGGGGGATTGCATTGATGATATTCAAACAAACGGGAACGCAAAGCACGGTTCTTTGCCTTTAGGGGAAAAAATACGAATGACCTCAAACGTAACTACAGCAGGCCAGGCCTACTGTCTCGCCTCTGGAACAGCATCGGTGATAAAACGAAAATCGCCATAATAAATCCCTGCGGGCCGCGAAACGCTCCCACCCGGGTACCACCCGCCCAAGGCCCGGCCGGGTCCGGCCTCCGCCGCCGCACACGGGAGCTCCAGGCACCTGGCGGAACAC